ACGAGCCTTGTGTAAAACACTGGGGGGGGGGGGGTTTATGCTGTCTCTTAAATCCTGTTGGTGAATAAACCCTGTAACTCAAGAAGTGTCACCTCTTTGCTTCAGATCACAGTAAAAGATATTGAAGACTTCGAAAAGAGCTATAAAGATTCAGAAGAGGAGCTAGCTGATATTAAAGCAGCGTACATGGATTTTGAGGGTGACATGGACAGAATAATGGAGTCTGTGTTGTGTGTGGACTATACAGATGAACCAAGAATACGGAAAATCATAGAAAAAGCCATTGACTCTGGAGAAGTCCCGACCTACAAAGGTTTCGTGAAAGAGTCTAAGCGGAAAATGATCGCAAGGAAAAGGCGGGTACGTTATATCAATCAGGGACCAAAGGAAAACATTATTTATTATAAGCTTTTAATCTCCCTTGATAGAAATAAATGAAACTGTTCTAAAGACAAATGTTTGCCACAGGATTGCTGGGTTACAGATCTTACTCAGTATCTTTGACTTTCACATTGTCACCTGTGTTCTCCACCCCCCCCAAATTGTTGTGAAAGGCTTTTGAGTTGTAATAGGCTGTTGCCTATTACTTCTTTCTTTTCTTTCATTATTATACACAATGGCTTATTACAGTTTAGCATGTCCCTGCATTTATTTACGCAGCCACGAGTTGCTGGAGTTAAGCGTACGTGGGGTGGAAATATGTTATGCTTGCCTTTTGGCAAGTGTGAAATAACATTCTGAACTAAATGGACCTCTTCTCCAACCTGTAGGGTTTTTTTTGGGGGGGAGGACCCTCTGTAGACTATGTTACGTGCACATCCCAGTAACCATTCTCCAATGTAAGACAATGTAATAGCCGCTAAGATAAAAAAAGCGTGGGTGCGGGGAACAGGGATGGGGATGGACATCTCATCATGTTCAGCATTGTGAAACAGCAAAAAACTGTCCCGCTCTGCTAAATTGCAGAACCAGAATGGGCTTTCTCTTTGACTGATCTCTCGTCTGTGGCCAAACTTGGGAAGCGTTCATGTTTCCTTGCAGCTATTTATAAATAGATGCAAAATAAAATGTTTGGTAACTACTATAAGACTTTGTCAAATAACATGCAAAATACTTTTTAAAAAACTGGTTTGCTATTTTAGGCAGAAAAAGAAGCTAGAGAGGCAGAAAAGACTAAGGATGAACTGGGCCTTGGTGGAGAAGATGACTTGAAAGCGCTGATTCAAGTAAGGCTTTTTCTATCTGTTGAAGATAATTACGTTACTGGCTTATAATAGTGTTTTCCCTGAGTGTCTTTGTATTGCAGATCCTTGCAACTCTTCTGAATTGCTGAGGTTAAAATCTGACCTTGATGTTAACTATCTATGTACTTTAATAGTCAGAGTATGGTATGGATTTTATTACCTGTGTCTTTTTAAAAATTAACAAAGTTATTCTAATATACTTATCCTTACTGCATACACAATCAAAATACTTAACTTCTAGTTTTAGGCAGTTAGACAGGGAGTGTTAATGAGTCTTTCTTTCTGAGGGATTCCACAAGGATGTAGCAGTTGATAGGTCTTACTATTTTGGTGTTTTTTATCTAGGGGATCGAGGAAAGAAACATACTGTTTACGTTCTGTTTTTCGGAATGTTTTCTGTTTCTTCTTTCTTGTTGTCCAGCAGGCTTCCTAGAATGTTCATGCTTTATCATTCCTGAAACTGCAATAGAGTTTTGGGTCTAGACTAGAAATTGCTTTGCTTTTCGTGGCTGCATGTTGTGATTTTTTTTTTTATAGCCCCTCTTTACCTCTGTCTTGGTATTTCTGGAAGTTAGGTGTAGAGCCTAGAGTATACAAGTAGGCTTTTGCTTGACAATACTGTACCTCCTGTAGTTTGTATTCCCTGTTTAATCTATTCCGAGATTTTATGTAGCTATCTGACTTCAATAGAATAATCTGTGTTGGGAAGTAGTAAAAGCTTTTGGTTTTTTTTGTTTGTTTTCCCCACCCCCCCATGCCTCCCCCACCCCAGAGCAGAAATAAAGATCGAAAAAAGGAAATGGATGACTTTTTGGCCCAACTGGAAGCAAAATACGGGAATAATGCTAAAAAAGGAGGAAAGAAGACTGCAGCCAAGAAAGGAAAGAAATAAAGAACTGTGTAGGCTGAAATATCGGGTATAATTTTGTATGGGAACATGTGGATTTGGGAGAACTTCAGAGTCTGTCTGGACTACTGTTTCGGAGTGTGTGTGCATCAACTTGCAGTGACTGGGAGGTATGCTACAGAACGCATCACGAATGAGAAAGACAAAGCATTCTGGTGCTACCGTTTAGAATCCTTTGGGTGCTCTTCAGTTGAGATCAGATTCGTGACTAAAAGTTTTGTTACAGTAAGGAAGCAGTGTGATGTTTGGGATGCCTGGGTGTTCATTAAACTTGTGTTGAAGCACCGTCCTCCCAAACACCCAATGGGTATCAGTAGAGCCGATGGTGAAAGAAACCACGTCTTTTTGATATTCACGCGTTTCTTTTGTAACAAACCCTCTGCTGTTTTTAAAGGTCTTTGCACTTCAGCTCAACAGGTGTTTTTCAGGTATTTCACTGGTTTTACAAAGATACTTTTGAAAATTGCAGATTTAATAAAAGTTTTTGCAGAATTCTGTGCTATGTCGCTTCCCCAGCCCTCTACGTGGTCTAAATAAGTGTTCAAAACAAACTGATCATGTTGACTCTTCTGACTGATTTAAGTCAAGTAAATACTACATGCTTCTATAGCAGCTGAAAATATGGCTATATTGTTAACCGTGGCGTCAATGCTGGTGATGCTACATTAGACGAAAGGGCCACCTCGTGTTTGGCCTTTGCCGATTGCCTGTGGCAGGAGACTGCACCATGTACGCAACTATGCAGAAATTCTCTAACGCACTGAGGTAATAAAAATCCACAGAACGGAGTCGGTTCTGTGTATGTATAGGGTTCTTGATGTCCCATGGCAAGGCGTTCCAAAGCTTAGAAACGTATTGCATGTTATTTCAATAGCATTGCAGTCAAGTCTGCTGTAGGAGGGTAGCGATTAGCTACTTTGTTGTATTTGTCAAGGGTTCTGTTATTTCAGAAGTGAAGTACTTCTGTAAGATGTGCAAATACATTGAAGGTTTTTTACTTCAGCTGGTTTTAAGCCACTTCATGTAGCGTGCAGGGGTATGAATTTGAAGGGTAACTAGTTTTCAACTTGCTGTAGCTCAAAGGAATGAGGCTGGCTTTATTTTGTGGATCATCTTTCAAAGGCTTATGAGCCACAAGGTGAACACTTACTTTTGAGTTGAAGGTCCTCATTGCTTCGGTGATAGCATTCAGGAACTGACTATTTAATAGAGCTTCCTAGGGGGAAGCTAGAGGTAGAATGGTAACTCTGTTCCCTTTTACTTGGCTGCTTCCAAAAATTATCCTGAGAGAGTACAGCAGTATCATTGTGTTGCACAACACATGACTTGAACATTACTTCTACTATACAAAATAGATATCTAACAGCCCAGGAGAAGTCTCTGGTGTCAACCATTTGTACAGAAACCAAAAGTTACCTTATGATGAGACTGCTTTCACTTTTTTAACACATAGACTCCATTAGGCTATAAAATACTACATTATGTTACTAGAAGTCTATTCAAGTTTGTTTATTGTTGTAACTCTTACGCATGAGGGCTACAGAACACTAGCTTGGTCCCTGAGGAATGGCACCAATATAAACGGGACGCTTATCTCCGTTTAGCTTATAATAACTAAATGACACACTGTACAACGTTCCAGAAGTCTCAGCTGTTATGAGAAACTGTATTTTGAAAGGGTTTAGTGAATAGAGGCCTCTCTTTAGCATCAATTTATCTCTATGCAAACTTAAGAGGTTTAGATTAAGACCAGAGCTTTTCCCCCCCTCTAGAAATGCAAAGGAAAGTTAATCCAGTTCCATTTGCACAGTTCTACTTTTCTTTTCCGTTCTTTTTGATTAGAGCATGCTTGGATCAACTGGACTCAAGAACGTCAATATTGATTAAAAATTACTAAGTAACTGTTCTGTAGGTACCACTAACATTTGAGAGATTGCATAACTTAGAGTGGGGAAGTAGGAGCCACTTCATAAAGAATATTGTCAAGTTTTTTCCATTATGAACGGTAATTTGGAAAATATTAATAAGGAAATTTAGAAAAAAGTGCTCTTTAATGGGATTATAAAGGAACACCTGTTTTCATGCAGCAAAACTTTTCACTTCGTTAAAGTACAGTAAGTGGTTATCCTCACCTTGTCTTTACATTTGTCGTCTGGCAGTTACTGCTTGGGAGTAAGACCTTCAACTAATCACTTATTTTGAGAAGCCTGTATTTCATGTTTTGATTTGGAGCCCCAAGGCCAACTACAGCTAATACCTCTAATGTCTGTTACACAGTGCAGAACACATCTAAAAGCGATGTTGCATCTGTGGGTTGTGGAACTTAATGGCGGAGTGCAGAAATCTTGTATAATTGCAGGTATTTTTAGAATGGGAGACTGACCCATTTTGTGAAATTACCATAAAATATCTCACCAGGAAGATCATGTACTTTCTTTGAATACTGTCTGGAACTACTTGCAGTAAGAGACTCCTTTTTGCCTCTTAAACCTTCTTCGGTCACTGAGGAAGAGGTATAAGTATGTAACACGGGAAGAGTCAGTGGTGTGCTACCCTTAAAGCTGTCCGTTCTGTTCATCTGGCTTGCTACCTTGTTTTTACACAACTGTGTTAGTATCTGCTGCAATTACTACAGGTTTCGTAACTCGTCTAAGTTGAGTTGTAGAAGCAGTATCACGTGCAGTGCTTGCTTTTGATAGTATAGTATTGCTTTAGACATAAAAATACAGCTTTAAAAATTTAAATTACTACTGCTGTGGAAAACCTGATTAATCTTCTGTAGACCTAACGGAAAAACTGGCAGGTTCCGCAGTACCTGTCTGTACCAACATGAACCAGTCACAAGTCAGTAATGGGAAAACAGCAACGACTGAGAGCGATTGCTAGATTTTCTAGGAGTTAGGCTTTACTGCCCACTGGAGTATATTCACCCTTCCACTGGAGTATAACTTCTACTGGTAGAAAATGGAATGTTCAAGTATACCTCTTCTAATCTTTGGCAGCTGCTTCTTAGATTTATATAAAAATAATTATTCGTAAGGAAGGGTGCTTGAAAACTCTCTGTAAACAATGTTGACATTGCTCAGAATGAGAGGTGGTTCATGACTCTCTGGAGGTGGATGGATACTTCTTCATGGCACGTCAGAACCCCTGTTTGCTTTTTGTCACTGATCCACTTCGACTGCGGGCTTTCACAGAACCATGCAGCTGAAGACCTAATAAACAGAGATCACGTACAACTTTAAGCTTCAATCCTATCTCGTTAGTATATTTTTATGTGGGAAATTCTGACAACTCCATGAGGAAAGTCCCAAAAGACTGTGATGAAAGGAACCCAGTGTAACTTGTCTTGACAGACCTAGTTTTCACAAAGTGCATCTAATCCCCTGCTCAGTGCTGCCCTTTCCAGGTGGAGAGGATACTTGGCATCAATACAAACTTAACAGGGAATGCTCCAGGTGGACTCAGGTGAGAGTTATAAAGATGGCATTCAGAAAAGCTGTTCCAGGGCACAAAAGTTAACTTTCGCTTTACTGTAATCTCTGAACAAACTCCCTCTCAACTGACTAGACCAGACCTCATGTGTGCCATGAGGTGAAAAACCTAAATCTCTGAAGGTAAAGTTGAAATAAGTTAGGTTCATTGGTCTACCGTAACACTTGTGTACACATGTGCAACTTAGTCTTGTAGCTTCTGACTACTAAAAAAGAACCACAACCCTGGCTGTGACTGTGTAGCTATTTGGAAGGATATATGAAGACTATTTTCAAAGTATATTAACTGTAAACAATTTAAGAAGATGACTTTGTAGTGAAGGAAGGGAAACTGGAGGGAAGAGTATGCATTGCGTTCACTACAAAAATGCCTTCCTGCTGCCTTGATACTTTTGATCAATTAAAAATAAGTAATTTTAGATGAGATTTGTTTTACTGATTTCAGAGTGTGCATGTGAATTGTACTGGTACGGTTACTGGCTTTAAAATGTACTTTGAGTTGATCTAGTGCAATTCTAGTACAATCCCTTCCAGATACAATTCAAATAAGTTTCTTTTGGACATAATGCAATTTCTTTCGGTTGTATAGTTGAGCAGAAGAAAAACCCTTGGACAGAAAGTAGTTGTTGCTAGTTCCTGTTTAAACTGGCAACTCCTACTCTTAACTTTGACATGAGAGGCGTTGAGGCTGATTACATTAAGCTTCCTTAAATGATTTAAAATACTAGGTGGTAATAAAAAAAACCCCAAACATACCCAAACATACTCTATATGCAAGTATAAAACTTGTATAATAGAAAATTTAAAACATGAAATAGAACTTTGAAAAACCTCCTCAATGTAATTACCTATGTAAGAAGTGCATCCTTGTCCCAAAAGCCTACCTCTTGCTTAATCTTACTAAATTCTATGACTGATGACCATACCTGAAGCTGTTGATCCTCTGCTTGTCCAAGATTGATTACTATAATCAATAACAGTGCAAGAACGGCGGTGCTGTGGATCTGGCTGAAAAGACAGTTCAAGTTATTTATCTTTGCATGAAAAATGCTAAACATCAAGATTATAATACAGACTACTTAAACATATGTATTTCCTAATTCATAAGATGTTGTAAAGGTTTAAGTAGAGCTTTCACAAGTTTAAGGAAGGTTAAATCAACCTAAAGTTCAACGCCTATAGAGTAGAAAATATACTTTTATAACACTCTTACTTAGAATGATCACTGGGCCAGTTAAAGGCATTCTTGCCACTTCTGGAAATTATTCTGTTTCAAAATAGATTTTAAAAAGTTTGTACGCTCAACTGCTAAGTCAAGGATATTGAAATTATACACAGAAACCAAACCAGTAGCTATTTAAAAGCTATTGTTAAAATTATAGCTTTTAAAGCTTAAGATAAAAATACTTTGTTAGATAGGACAAGATACCAGTAGAGTAGGTTTTTCAATAAATTAAACCAAGAGCATTTGATACGGAAACAGACCGGATGTTAATAGTACAGCAAACTTGTGCAAAAAAGCAATGAAGACTATCCTACCCCTGTGTTTCTGTAGGAATGCCTTCCCAACGTCTATGCAAAACTTTAAAGCATCCTCTCCTACCTCACAGTTCTTCTTAAGCCTTCAGAGAAGATGCTAGATTGAATGTTACACCTCAGGTAACACTTAGCTTTTTCCACAAGCATCTCAAACTTGGATTCTTCAAGAAAAGTGTAGTATCACCAGCTGCTTATAGGCGTAGTTAGGAGCTGGCTGGGGGGAGTATGGTGAGACCGTTATCCCTGAACAATGACTTGTCCTGTTTCTTTCGGAGGTGCAATGATGTTTCCGTTTACCTATGAGTATCTAATCAAGTTGTGAACTTGATGAATCCCCTGGCACTGATTACCTGTGACATTTGGTTCTTGGGTAACGTTTACCTATGTTAATTGTCAAAACACCCTATTGAGTCACTTAGGATGATTTGGTATAATTTGCCATGCTTTACCAAGAATGCGTTGGTTGTGTTAGGCCTGGAGAAGCGATCAGGTAAGGAAAGCTGCTCCTGTAGCTGCTGGTGGGTATCTTCGTGTGTTGTTACACTGTGAGCTCGACTTGAGTTCCTTCGAGATTTCTGCATTGAAGAACAACAGTTATGGCTACTTCTTATTGCAGCAGTACATTTAAAATAATTAGCCTAGGAATTAAAGCTAGTTTTCCAAGTCAATCATTCTACACCTAGTTATGGGGAGGAAAAAAATGCTGGCATTAACTGGAATTAAAGCATTCAACTATGGGTGATGCTGTTAATCAAAATTGATAGGGCATTTTTTGTGCATCTACTTCAGTTGCTGTCACTTAGAAGATAACAAATTAGAACTCCTGGGTTAGGTAACTTGATCAGCAGCGATTACAATTTTAGACTATCCAATAATAAAATTGTTGTGCCCATTACCGTTTGCCTCTGGGATCCTGCAGTGCTCACATGCTCTGCCACACTGGTGGTAGTAATAGGTGGTAGGAGATTATTTCGGCTTAGCGGCAGCGGGGAGGGTGAGGTCAGGTGCTCATGTGCAGTCAGACTGAAATGCGCCAATAAGAACAGAAAAAACATACAGTTTACATGTTTGGCATTGTGTAAACATACAATATTGTCAGTTTGGCATTATGTAGACAAACAATGTTAAAACTAAAAGCAGCGGTTCCAGAATTTTGCTACAAGATGCTGGTGTTAGGGCTGACTATTGGAGACTGAATTTAAGAGGAGTTCTGCAGCGGGTGAAGTTTGGCAGAAATCTTTTTCGTCTATTAACAAGAACTTCTAGTTTTCAAAATGTTTAATATGAAGCATATAGGCAAAGCGAGCCTGAGAACGAGTACCCAGCAGAAATCTTGGTAATGGGTGTATATAACAGCTAGTTGGTGGTTAAAATGCATCCAGCGTATTTTGAAGGAGTGTGCTGTGCAGCTGGTACTGCAGAATAAAGTTGTGTATATTTAAAGGTGTCTTCATGGGCAGTTACCATACAATGGTAGAATCTTGTCTGCCCGTTCCCAGACACGGCATTATTTTCTGCTCTTTGCTCATACCCTTGAGGATGAAGTACTGCTTGCTGCTAACTTCAGCCTAGCGACTGAAGATAAACAATGAGCCTAGAAAACAGCAGCGGCCCACATTTTAAGCAGAGTAAGTAAAAAAAGCTATGTAATGCAAATGCATATTGTAGCTCTTTCACTTATTACAAGCGTCAAATAAAACGTCTGGGGGTAAAACAAGGCTTCTACCTTCTCCATATTTTGTTTGAGTATTTGAAGGAACAGGTGCAAGAGGCTTTTGGAAGCCTTCTAAAGGGAGCTAAACCAGTCTAATTGCACAAAATACAAAATGAATTAAACATTAGTCACAGGAGGAATGTAAAAGAATAAGTAATCTATTTTCTAGATACAGTCTTTTCAGATGAAAGCCTTTTCACATGAAAGGCATCTGCATATTATTGTATGTTTGAGAAGTGCTAGAAATGATCGAGAGGCCTTAGCTCATATGCGTTCTGGAGTTGACTGAAGGAAGGATGTTCTGTAAAAATACATTAGAAAAGCTTCAAACTATAATCAGCATTTTTAAAAAGACTTTCCTAGTGCTCTCTACATACACTTAAACGTATATGGTAATAAAGGGGAGATGTTAACAATTGTTAAATGGATCGAAGCCTGAGGAAAGGGAAGAGAGGCATAAAATATTGCAAGTAGAAACATCAGTTGCAAAGGGACAAGGAACAAGTCTCTAAACAGTACATGACAAAAAATAACAGGCTGGATGAGTTTATAGGTAAACTGCAAAACTAAAAGGAAACTATGTCAATTTACAATACCTGTGGAATATAAAAGTGTATTAAACCCTGCATTGTTTCCTAATACCCTGTAGTCCCTGTAAATGACTACATTCAGTCAGATCATTATGCCAAACAAAAATAAGATATTCTAGACGTGATTGAGGGTTCACTGAGTTCATTAGGAGTCCTTTGGTCAGTCAGATAACCTAAGATAAGCACCTTCTTTATAGCCCAGTCTGGGCTAGGGCAGCAACAGGCAGTTTGACCTCCAAAAACTGTGGACTTTTAAGTTCATCCTGAAAACAGGCTATAGAAAAAGAAAGCTGATGTCAAGAAAGAGGTGGTGGTATTTGCTTTGCTTGTACTGGACAGACTGAGGTATATAGTTTGTGTGCAAAACTACCTACATATGTATGCGATTCATTGAATCACAGCTTGTAGAACGGTAAACATCAACTTTAGCAACTCAGCTTTCTCAGGGGAGATTGTGCTTTAACGGGCAGTTAATTTCTTTAATCAAATAATTCACGCTTTTTCTGTTCAACCGAATGCCTTTTGTATAAGCTGGGTTCTCTAAATACAGTAACTTGCAGTGAGAAACTGGCTTTGAAACATACAATCGAGTTCCCCTGAAGACATCGTCCACAGACCCTGGGGTCCCAGTACGAGAGTGGCTTGTGTTGATGGGATGCAGGGTACGTGGTGGTGGGTTTCGCCTTCTTGTCGAGCGTGACAGGGATGATGTGCTGAGCTCTAGAGGACGGTTTGGCCACACCCTGGGAGAGAGGATGGAACTGGAGCCTGGCCGTTTGTCATCCAGGTCCCTAACAAAAGAATTACAAAACCAAAAGAGAGATGGTCAACATGACTGATAACTATCCTGTCACCAAAGTACTCATCTAGAGGTGACATGAATAATATTATGTGTGGATAGAGATTATGTGTTTTCATTTTTTTATATAACTATATAAAGTAATTTACAGCCAAATTAGAAAAGAATAGGGGATGGAAAAGGAAAAAAGATGCCTATCTTTTTTTTTTTTTACTGAACTATGAACTTTCTGATTGAAGATTCCAGTATATAAGTAAAAATTAATCACAGAACAGATTAAAAAAAAAATACTGTAAACACCAGTTTTCACACCCATAGCCTAGATCTAACACAAGTCTAGTTCTAGGAACCGAGCAAATCAGTTTCTCTATCCCGTTCTGAGCTTCATCTCTTTTCAGGATGTCAGCTAGTGCCAACAGTAATGCCAGAGCTGTTCACTAAGTGGTAAACCAGCAGCAATCAAACAGAAAACGTGTACTAGAAGTATACTGCTTCACAGAGGACAAATAAACAAACAAACAAGCAGGAAAATAACTGAGAATTGCTTTCTCCACTGTATAAAGTTATCTCTCAGTGTTTTGGGTTGAATCCCTCTCACCGTGAGAGTGCTCTACTTTACAACAGATGACTGATAGTTCTTACAATGTTTTCTCCATTACAGGCAGATTCCTTTGCTGTAACTGGATCCCATGTATCACCATCAAGCCATTTAGATTATGTTGAGAGCCACTACTTAACCCTTGAGAGAGATTTACCTGAAAGTTTAAAAAAATAAGTAAATTACTGTTTGGCAGAGATATACACGCATATTTACACATTTTGTCTTTCTAAATAATCTTGGAGGAAAGAAATTAATTTCTTCCATGACATCCAGATATATACTCAGTTATATTATTTCCCCATCTAAGATAGGCATCTCAGCATTCCATTTTTCTTGGAAATGCTAGTGCTTAGAAAAGGTGTCCTACCATGCTATGTCATACTTAATATTTTCCAGCTGAGCTTCTCATTTGCTTGACAGGATCTTCCAACAATGGTTATAATCAGAAGCTTTACAAAATTAATTTTCAGTGTATGTTGATATTTTATGTCAAGAACAGAACTGCAAACTCCTTTCCTGGAATACAGACTGATCTGGAAAAACATCAAATTCCACCCACCGTAACGACAGCAAATAGAAAATACCAGAGCTTTAATCTCTCCAACATACATACTTGAGGTGTTTTTCTTCTCTTTTTGCTTTTGCGGCCACATCTGGTTTTTGGGCACTACACATACAGTAAGGAGAAGATGAGGAAGAGGCAGGGATAGAAATAAAGGAGAAAGAAATAAAAAGAAATAAGAAGGAAAGAGTTGAATTAAAATGGAATAAACAGATAACACCTTGGTGCTCACCACTCTAGGAGCAGATCACCTAAAGCAGATTACACAGTCAAATTCAGTGTCTGAGAAAAACACCTGTTTTACAGCTGCACTGAGATTTGTCCTCTGTTGCCTGATGACTTAGCTATAGGTAAGCCAGTGAGAATAGGATCTCACACACGCAATCCTCGATCTCACAATTTAGTTCAAACGTTATTGAAATGTAGAAAGAACTGTATCATTAATGAACAGTCACCACATGGTTGTCCAATACATATATAAAATATTAAGTTTTAAAGAGAAAAGCAGGAATTAAAACTTGCAACAGAGGAATAACAGAACTTAAGTGCTAGAAAGGACAGTCGGCATTCATACAAAATCCAAACTAGTTACGTATCTGAACAGCCCCCTGACATACTCGAATCTGTTTGCTTAGGTAGTGCTGTATTGATTTGTCCCTACACAAACCAGCTGGCTAAAAATACTTACCAGATTTGATGTCACTGAGGGCATTTTAGTTTGTGGCACACGAGGTAACAACAGTGGCAGAGGATCAAACTGCAAAGGGCTTCCAGCATCAGCTCTGATTGTTTCTACTGTTATGATATTTTTCTCATCATCTATGCAAAGCAACAGAGAATTCCTGTAAATACAGACTATTGGCATTGCTAGTTGTGGACAGTGCTATGAATCCAAATTTTTTAGAGAGTCCTCTTAGATGCTAAGCTCTATTAAATCTTTTGAAGGCATGTCTCACACTGTTAGCAAAATAACCTTCCCCCCCGACACCCCCCACC